CACTGGAGACTTTTAGATATACAACATATCCACTGAGCTAAACAGTCAGCGCTGACTATTTAGCTTAGTGGATATGTTGTATATCTCACAAAAGTACCACCAGGGTCCGAACAGCTGTTAGGCTGTCTGACTCTGGTTTTCCCCCAGGGTTCTAATCCCTGTAATCAGCGCTGCCCCAAGCGGTTCATCGGCTTACAGGCGGGGATATGTGTCTTCATCGTTGACGACTGGTGATGTGTACCATGACTTTCAGGTGTGTATCCCAGACATTTTTTTCTCTTTCCTGAAAAAAGGCGTCAAGATGGCTCCCAGAGGGATTCGAACCCTGGTTGTACTTTTGTTACGACTACCCCCGCGTGCGAGATCACATCCCCGTGGAGAGAGGAAAATCAAGAGATAGAGAGTCCGGTGACATGAGGTCCGCGGCAAATTCCTCTTAAGCCGTCATGGTCCAATCGCCTGCGTCAAATGAGAGCCATGCCAACGAAGCAATCGAGAGACAGGGGTGGGTTGGGTTTACCGAGTAGCTCTGTCGATAGCTCTTGGGGGGACGGGATTCGGTTTTCACGGTACGCTTTGAGCACCTACTACTGACGACAGGTGCGTCAAAGGTGCAGCCCCAGTATGCAGGTGACGTCGAGTCTCACTCTCCCCCGCCCCCCGTTCGATCTCGAATTGCTAAACTACATTTCGAAACATTAAAAAAAATGCTGTAGTGGCCGAAAAAGCAAGGAACGGGATTGATCCCCTTTTCCCCGTTGCCCGGTGTACGCAAACCGTCGGTGGCGTTTACTTCTTCCGCAAAGATCACGAGAATACATACCACCACCAGAGACGACACACACACGGATGGCGTTGCCTTTCTCTATGTCATACGCTCGGGCCCGCGTCGGTTCATCAGATGCTTAGATACATCGTTGTAGCAGGCGAACAGGTCGTCCTTGACGCCATTCATCCTCCCTTCTGTCACGGCCTCACGACCCATCGCTTCGACCTTCGCAGTCTCGCAGCTCGACACCTCCTCCGCGAAGGTAGGCAAGGTCGCCATCACCAGTTGCTGCACGGCCTCCAAGTGCGATCTACAGCAGTACAACAAGCGGCATCCAAGAAGCCGAGGTGTGTGCGGCGGGGAGCGGTGTACTCATAGTTGTGCATGCCGTAGCCGTTAGACCATTGACCTCGCATCCCTACAAAGCCGGGACGGAGCACGCCGGGTTCTCACCGGACCAGGCTCTCACATCACCAAGCGCGAAGCGCCGTGAGATGTTCGGCGAGTCGCATGAAGGGTGAACTGCATCCTGCGAACGGTCTTCGGCATCTTGTGCTTACTTCCTTGCGTACGGATGACAGCTGCGTATGACTTATTTTATTTTCTGGTGCTTTCACTTCCTATAACAGTTGTAAACNACCAAGCGCGAAGCGCCGTGAGATGTTCGGCGAGTCGCATGAAGGGTGAACTGCATCCTGCGAACGGTCTTCGGCATCTTGTGCTTACTTCCTTGCGTACGGATGACAGCTGCGTATGACTTATTTTATTTTCTGGTGCTTTCACTTCCTATAACAGTTGTAAACACTGTGTAATTGCCTCGAGGGTGCTTGGCCATTTTAACACAACGTGGTGCGATCACCCCCCTTGCGCGGAGTGAGGGTTCTTGACCCCGCACAGCATGATCTACTCGACCACCATCATTATGGTTACCGCCAAAAAAAAACAGAGGTAAAGCAAACAAAACGTTAACTAACCTGGTTCCCGAGTTTGCGAAGTGAATTGGCTTGTTTTACAACGTCGTTGCCAAGCGACGAAAACCCAACCCCCGTGGCAAACATCGGGGGGGCGGGGGGGGGGCGGCGTACTCTGATGTTTTGCATGCCTTAGCGGTTAGACAATTGACCACGCATCCTCCAGAGGATGGAGCATTGCTCCCACAGGACCGATCACCGATGGCCAATCGTTCCTTGCTACTTTGCTAAAGGTGGCTCAAAAACGTCTTCCCTAGTCTATCCTAACGATATCCCTTCCCGCCTTTTCAACCCACCTCCTATGCCCCAGTACAGCTACCGTCCTTTCCTCTCTATTCCATGCCTCAAACATCTCCCTGTACGTCCCATCTAGTTTTCCCAGCTCAGTCACGTACACTTCCATCTTCTTGTACCACGGACATTCCGCGACTACATGAACACTGTCTTCGCTTTCGAAGCCGCAATCACATTTGAACTCGTCTTCTTCGTCGTCTACCGTCCTATGTCTTCGTCGACGTTCTCGAAGGCCTATGTCCCCGGTCCTGAATTAGACCTTAAACTGTTTTCCTGCATCCATTGGTCCATGTAGGCAATCCTTGAACCCTATTCCTTCCTTCAACATTCCGTACACTTCTAGACCCTCCTTATCCTTGGTCTCTTTCTTTATATTCTGNACCTTCTTATTTCCTTCCCATTCTTCTCCGGCGTACTCTAGCGGCGGTATGATTACGCTCTTTAAAACT